CAAACTCTGGCACTCTTCCTTTAAATCCAAAATAAAGTACAGAAATTACCCGGGTGCTTCCAAGCCTCGGTATGTATAATCAATGAAGGAGCACTCCAAGCGATTTTTCAAACTTGTTTATAATCCGGTGTTGAAAAAATCAGTCATCAACGTTTCGACCCAATAGGGTCTTTATCAAGATAACAACAACCTCAAATTAATGTGCATATATACAAAAATACAAATGAATCTAACTTACCCCACCTGAGAAGTGAAGCCCGCTCACCAAGTGCCGCCGAGTAGTGCGCATGCGTAGTGACGTCACCGAAAAGGTGCGTCATGACGTGTGTGCGTACGTGCGTGATAACGTGATCATGTGATCCCATGGACCGCAAGCGTGTCCATGGAAACCTGAATCAATAAAAACAAAGCAAAAGGAGAGATAGGAATCTACAGACCGGAAAAGTCATCGAATATTGATGAGCCACAATTGAAATAAATAAATAAATACACAGAGTGTAGCTAGGAGAAAAAAACGTGAAGCAAAGAGTGAAAAAAAGCATAAGAGGATAATAAGAAATAAAAACAAGAATGTGTAGAGAAAAAGTGAATGAAAAAACACAAATAAGAGCCTCTGAAAAGAGACAAAAACGTGATGTGTGAGAAAGAAAAGTGAAGTGTATGAATAGACATATACATCTGAAAAAAGTGAAAGAAGGAGAATAGAAAAGAAATAAGACCTAGTACACCTCAGAGTCCTAAACACATGTGATCCGATCATATAAAATCCATATATAATAGAGACAAATACCGATCATACTTCCAAGTGTACATCAGATACAGAATAATATTACTAATAGACATACATATGTATGTTAAGTTCCTACATATACAACAGTAAATAAACTTCACAAATTACATTATGGTAATAAAGAAAAATGCAGAGGCCAAAAATTGTATATATATATATATAAGGCCTAAAAAGAAAATAAATAAAAAACGTCTCTCCAAAAATGAGTTAAATGAAACATATTCGTTCAATCCTTTGGGTTGTAACGTGTCCAATTGTTTAATCCAGAAGGTCTCCCTTTGAAGTAATAACTTTGACCGGTCACCTCCCCTGATTGGAATAGGTATGACATCTATAGCAATAAATTTAAGCATGGGTAATCTGTGGTTAAATGCGAGGAAGTGTTTAGCCACAGGTTTGTTTTAGTTTTCCCATCTCTAAAAGCCGTCATAATAGCTGATCGATGCCCTCTGATCCTATCACGGAGGGTTAAATCCGTCTTACCCGCATAAAAAAGAACCCAGGGGCAGGAGATTAAATAGACCACGTGATCTGTTAGACAGGTGATATGGTGTCGAATCTTATATCTTTTGCCCGAATGTGGATGTACAAAAGAAGAGCCTGTAAGCATATGGCCACAAGTGACACATCCAGTGCAACGAAAACAACCCATTTTGTTGGTTTTAGTTGGAGCCAATATTTCTCTGGGGAGGTCTGTTTTCATCAGAAAGTCTCTCAAATTTCTATTCCTAGTGTATGATATCCGAGGGGGATAGGAGAAGACCTTACTAAGGGTTTTATCAGTTGACAAAATCTCCCATCGTCTCCTAATATTCTTGGAGATATCCATACTCGCTGAATGAAACTTCATGGGAATAGTGATACGTGGTGAATTTAACCGTCTTGTCCCCTTTTCAAAAATTTCAAAGGCTCTAGTTAGCGTTTTGTCCAGAATATATTTCGGATAGCCCCTCTCAAGAAAAGATTGACGCATGGCATTCAATTGTAAATCCCGATTATTGATCTCCGAGTTATTTCTGAGTACCCTCAGAAATTGTGAGATAGGTAGAGAATTAATCTCCTGCCCCTGCGGTCTTTTTTATGTGGGTAAGACGGATTTAACCCTCTGTGATAGGATCAGAGGGCATCGATCAGCTATTATGACGGCTTTTAGAGATGGGAAAACGGACAAACCTGTGGCTAAACACTTCCTCGCATTTAACCACAGATTACCCATGCTTAAATTTATTGCTATAGATGTCATACCTATTCCAATCAGGGGAGGTGACCGGTCAAAGTTATTACTTCAAAGGGAGACCTTCTGGATTAAACAATTGGACACGTTACAACCCAAAGGATTGAACGAATATGTTTCATTTAACTCATTTTTGGAGAGACGTTAGTCTATTTTTTATTTATTTTCTTTTTAAGCCTTATATATATATATATATATATATATACAATTTTTGGCCTCTGCATTTTTCTTTATTACCATAATGTAATTTGTGAAGTTTATTTACTGTTGTATATGTAGGAACTTAACATACATATGTATGTCTATTAGTAATATTATTCTGTATCTGATGTACACTTGGAAGTATGATCGGTATTTGTCTCTATTATATATGGATTTTATATGATCGGATCACATGTGTTTAGGACTCTGAGGTGTACTAGGTCTTATTTCTTTTCTATTCTCCTTCTTTCACTTTTTTCAGATGTATATGTCTATTCATACACTTCACTTTTCTTTCTCACTCATCACGTTTTTGTCTCTTTTCAGAGGCTCTTATTTGTATTTTTTCATTCACTTTTTCTCTTGTTTTTATTTCTTATTATCCTCTTATGCTTTTTTTCACTCTTTGCTTCACGTTTTTTTCTCCTAGCTACACTCTGTGTATTTATTTATTTATTTCAATTGTGGCTCATCAATATTCGATGACTTTTCCGGTCTGTAGATTCCTATCTCTCCTTTTGCTTTGTTTTTATTGATTCAGGTTTCCATGGACACGCTTGCGGTCCATGGGATCACATGATCACGTTATCACGCACGTACGCACACACGTCATGACGCACCTTTTCGGTGACGTCACTACGCATGCGCACTACTCGGCGGCACTTGGTGAGCGGGCTTCACTTCTCAGGTGGGGTAAGTTAGATTCATTTGTATTTTTGTATATATGCACATTAATTTGAGGTTGTTGTTATCTTGATAAAGACCCTATTGGGTCGAAACGTTGATGACTGATTTTTTCAACACCGGATTATAAACAAGTTTGAAAAATCGCTTGGAGTGCTCCTTCATTGATTATATATATATATATATATATACATACACACACATATATATATATATATATATATATATATATATATACACATACACACACACACACACATCATAGAACTGTTAAAAGTGAAAGTTTTTGTGAAAATAAAAACAATTAATGCTTGTAAGCTGAGCATTTGTTGCAGACAATCAGATGTTTTCTAATGGATAGCATAGATGACTCACACTGTGTAAAGATGTTAACAGAAATGATATTTAAATAACTGCTTTAATCAGTTATGGCCAAAAGGAATGCAGAGTTAGAATAAAAGAAGAAAAATTGCATTTGGCAAAAATCCACTGATGTTTTCATGTTTCTAATAGGGTGGGTGAAAATGAAGCCTTTCAGTAAATATAATAATGCAGAGTCTATAAACTAAAGTTGAACTGCAATTACTTTGCAATTTATTTCTTCAATGTAAAAATAAATAAAGTTACCTAAGGTAACTAAGCTACACTACTCACAAAAGATATAGCATGAGAGAATTTCAGTAAGCACATACATTCATTCAGTTAGGCTAATTTTCAGGGTGAGCCAGGGGTCTCTGTCACCTGGAAGCAGGACTCTTTATCGCTGTAATTAGATGTAGCTAAATTGCTATTCCCTTTCCACATCCCTTTGTACATCTGCTCCTTTTATATAACCAATGCCACTCACAAGAGAGGCATCATATGAAGCATAGTCCTCTATGTTTAGGGAAAAGTCGTCATTAGTAATGATGATTAGCCATAACACTGCAGATGTTGGTGGTACACACTTACCATTCCCAAAATACCAACCTAAAGGTGTAGATTCCTTACACATGTGTATGCACACTGGCATTCATGTGGGTGTCACTTTGACATGTACCCCCTTCCTAGATCTTGCTACAGACCACATACACCTCTTCATGGCAATGGTGTTCCCTGATGGCAGTGGTGTCTTTCAGCAAGATAATGCACCCTGACACACTTTAAAAATTGTTCAGAAATCATTTAATAAACATGACAAAATTCCCCAGATCTCAATTCGATTGAGCATCTGTGAGATCCATGGAGGCCCCACCTCACAACTTGCAGGATTTAAAGGATCTGCTGCTCATGTCTTGGTGCCAGATACAGCCTTCAGAGGTCGTGTTGAGTCCATGCCTGGACGCTTCAGATCTCTTTTGGCAGCACGAAGATGACCTACACAAAATTAGTCTTCTTATATGTTTGATAAGTGGATGCACACACAAAAAAAAAACACTTTATGAGACTATTACAGACTTGATAGTATGCTGCACACAGGGCTGGCCTTAGGGTTCTAAGCGTCCTGTGCGAAAAAACTGAGCAGCGCCCCCTCTTGTCACAGAGCTCCATAACAATACAACTCTCAGTAATGTGTAGTGTATGAGCTTGTCACAGAGCGCCACACCAATACATCTCTCAGTAATTTACCTATTAGTGTATCACAGTGCTCTCCAACTATAAAAACACAAAGTAATGTATATTTTGTATCCACTGTAATAAATCTCACTATAATATGATGTAGCGTGTGTTGTCTGTGTGTGTGATATGTATGCTATGTGTTGTCTGTGTGTGATATTTGTAATGGGTGTATTAACTGTGTGTGATGTGTGTATTGGCAGTGTGTAATATTTGTGCTGGGTTTATTGGCTGGGAGTGATAGGTACTTAACTCAGATAAAAATATGCATGTAGGTTAATGTGTGAATGCAGGTGTATATTTTTGTAGAGTCACACACATACACTTACAGGTAGACACACACACAATTACAGTCATACAGACAGTCATACACACATGCAGCCACTCACATGCCATTACAGGCAGAAAGTCTCTCACTCACACACAGTTTGACTGCCTGTGTGTGTGTGACTGGTTTTGTGGCTGTAAGTATGTATGTGACTGTCCGCCTGTACCTGTGTGTGTTTGTCATTGTCTGTCTGCAAGTGTGTGTGTGTGTGTGTGTGACTGTCTCACACACACGCACGGTTGCAGGCAGACAATAACAAACATGCACAGTTGCAGGCAGACAATGACAGAAACACACAAGTACAGTCACATACATATGTACAGCCACAGACACAGTCAGAGAGGCAGACAGTAACACACACAGTTACAATCACACACAGGCAAGCATACATACATACACACACAGGCAGACAGTCAGTCACACACACACACAGTTACAGGCACACACATAGTTGCAATCACACACAGTTACAGACACACACAGGCAGACAGTTACACAAATAGTTACCTGTGTGGAGTGGAGGCAGTACAATTCCTGAAGTCTGGTGGTTTTGGGGAAGCAGGGGCTCATTCCTGCTTCCCCCTTCCTGTGAAGCTTTTGCTTCTGGGTGCTTGTAGCTCTGCCCCTGCTGCAATTGAGACCCCACCTCTGCCACTCATTAAGCCACAGCACCCCCACTGGCATGTTCTTTTGGTTGATAGTCCCAGGTGGAGAATACTTAATCCTTCACCCGGGTAGCTAGACATGTGTGAGCTGTGTCGGCCACATGGCACCCCCTGCTACCATGGCGCCATGCGTGGCCGCACAGCTCGCACACCCCTAAAGCCGGCCCTGGCTGAACACACAGCATTTCAATTCTTCTTATTTATTCAATTTCAACCAACTTATTTTTATGAAGATTATCTTGCTTTAAGACATTAGAAACAACAAATTCCCAAATCATCTAAAATGTCTTGTTGATTTAAACTGCATGGGGAAAGTCATAGTGAGCCTTTTATTTTTTTTATTTTTTTTTTTTAATCTTCGCTCCATCCACTCAGGAAACTAGTAGAAAATGAGATACTATAATCAATTTCTAGCCATATCCACCTTTAATAGTAGGTCTTCAATTGAACAAGGCAGCAGAACTGAACAAAACACACACATATATATATAAAAAGCATGTAGCTTGATATTATGTGCTGTTTTGCACATGATTGGAATTCAGAAATTCTCCTTGTTCCATCAGAATTACCAGTCACTTTTAAAGGCCTAGAGATGAAATACTTCAATGGCTCTGCAAGGACCCTTTTAATCCCAATTGCTTTGAGATATCATTGTAAAATTGAAAGAAAAAAAAATATGTATGTGCCACAGCTGCAGAATTTGATTAAATATGCTTTCATTTCAGTGTAAAGAGATGTTAGTTTGCAAGCTGGTATATTGCTTCACTTGCTTCTACCCATGAAATAATAGAAACATTTGGGTTATAAATGGAATTATGTTTACAATATTTTCAAAAGTGCTCTTGAAAAGTTGTTGTTTTTTTATATGCACTAATAAAGAGTGAGTTTTAAAGCTTCCATATGTATTATTATTATTATTTTTTTTAAGTTCTTTATTTTTGTTCACTCAGCATGTTAAAAAATAGATAGTACTCCCAAAAAAGAGTCCAGGCCACCAGGGCGGCAGACCCTCCAGGGATTGGAGATGTGGGTTCGTGAGAAATAGTAGGATATGAATGTAGAAGAAAGAAATCCTCACCAGTCAGTCCCTGTCAGGATTACTAGTTGATCCAGCACGTGGAACTGTATCACACCTAGGACTAACGGTAACTTCTTACCGAGCCTTAGAATGGCCGGACTTAACGTACCAGAGAATAGTCAGAATACTTGCGAGTTCGGGAACACAGACTGAGACACAACGATGAGGGAAAGCCAAAAGTCAAGGGTACCAGAATACAGTGAAGTCAAATGAAGCCAAAGTCAATAACCAGGAAAAAAAGCTCAGGAACACACTCTCAGACAACCACAAAGGGAAACCACTACAGGGCAATGAGAAAAGAAAAAAAAGAGTTTAAATAAGCTTCCCTTAGATCTGATTGGCCTTTGACCCCAGAACGTGCGTGCACGTCCTTTTCGTGACGTCACATGCATGCCGATGTCATCAATACCGTGGGTGGATGTGGGGTTATAAATTGGAATGAATCCGCAGCGGCCAGCATCCTTCAACATACCACAGGAGTTAGATACACCGGCACATGGCTGCTGAGTATCACTTTCGTTAATGCCAGAAAGGCATTTTCCATTACGGCCACCACAAGGTGAGGAGGAACATGTGACATTACCCCCACCTGAAGACCACCCATCGGGCGGGCAGGACCCAGCTTGAGGGGAAACTTGGTGTGGAAATAACAAATCTTGCGACTAGCATGAATATTGGAGGCCAGAACCCAATCATTTTCGGCAGGACCAAAACCCCTCTAATCAACTAAATACTGTAATGAACCACGAGAGAAACTGGAATCGATTATGGAAGAGACTTCATCCTCCTCCTGTGCAGAAACAACCAACAGGGGAGGTGGAACAGTATACCTATTGGAAATAAGTGGTTTGAGCAAAGAAACATGAAATGTGTTAGGAATACGTAATGAGGCAGGGACCAAGAAATCTGGGAACAAACTTAATGCTAGGAAAATTAAGTTTGATGTTGCGCGATGATAACCACACCCTCTCACTCCGCCATTTATCAGCATGAAATTTTAAACGATCAGCCGCAGTTTCAAGAGCGGAGGTCCAAGTCTCACGAATAGAAATAAGGTGATCAACCAGGGCAGGGATAGCAGTGTCAGAAAAAACTGCCGACAGAACAGTAGGATGACGACCGTTATTAACAAAGAATGGGCTATGTCTGGAAGAGTCATGGGTAATATTGTTCCCAGCAAACTCGGCCCAGGGTAGTAATTCGGACCAATTATCCTGTGTGCTATTAATAAAACAATGTAAACACAATTCCAATGAGTGGTTACAACTCTCAGCCATACCATTGGTTTGTGGATCGTAAGAGGAAGAAAATGACAATTCAATGCAAAACTGTTTATTAAAAGTCGTCCAAAACCGAGACACAAACTGAGAACCTCTGTCAGATACAATATTGTGAGGAATGCCATGTTGTCTGACAAGTTCACATATGAAAATAAGAACTAGGTCTTGTGAGGATGGCAACTTTTTGAGTGGAACAAAACGAGCCATTTTGGAAAAGCGGGCAACCACCATTAGGAGGTGGTAAAGCCATTAGAACTGGGAAGTTCTACGATAAAATCCATGGACAAATGGGACCATGGAACACTAGGTACAGGAAGTGGATGCAACAATCCACATGGAAACTTATGAGGAACTTTAGAAACTGCACAAACTGAACAGGCCTGCACATATTCCTTAACATCTTTCCTGAGAGAATCCCACCAAAATGATCTCACGGATATGGATTTATTAATGCCTGGATGCCCAGCAGTCATGTTATTGTGAAACACCCTTATGACATTCTCTCTTTCAGCCAATGGAACAAATAATTTATCTAGTGGTTTTATTGCATGGTGCCTGAGACTGAATCTCCGTGGTAGCACCAAGCAGAGGGGATGACAAGGAAAGAACAGTGGAAGCAATAATACACTCAGAAGGGATAATAGGGGATGTTTCTTGTTCCGATTCAATGTCAAATTGCCTAGATAAGGAGTCTGCTTTCACATTCTTGGGACCAGGTCTGTAAGTAATAGACCATCTAGCCTGTCTATATGACAGTCATTTAGTATCTCTTATTTAAGCCAAATTCATGTGGTCAGTAATGATCAACAGGGGGTCCTTGGAACCCTCTAAAATATGTTGCCACTCTTTAAGCGTTAGTATAATGGCCAACAAATCTCTGTTGCCAATATCATAATTACGCTCAGCAGGAGACAACTTTCTAGAGAAGTACCCACATGGAAAGGGGTATCCTGACTCTCCCTCTGAGAAAGAACTTACCCCAGTTTCGAAGGCATCAACCTCCACTATGAAGGGTTTGCTGGTGTCGGGCTGTATCAATATGTCAGCAGAAGCAAACCTTTGTTAGAGAAGTTCAATCATATCGTTGCTAGCCCCCTTGCATGTCATATTGGTGATGGGGGCCATCACAGAAGAGAACCCTTTGATAAATCTCCTGTAATAATTAGCAAATCCAATAAACCTTTGGATGGCTTTTAGTCCATTGGGCAATGGCTGATGTAGAACAGCCTCTAGTTTATGAGGATTCATCTGAAAACCACACACTACACAAACACACACACACACACTCTGCATTATATACACACACTACACAAACACACACACACACATACACTCTGCATTATATACACACACTACACAAACACACACACACTCTGCTTTATATACACACTACACAAACACACACACACTCTGCATTATATACACAGACTACACAAACACACACACACTCTGCATTATATACACAGACAACACAAGCACACACACACACTCTGCAGTATATACACAGACTACACAAACACACACACACACACACACTCTGCATTATACACACACTACACAAACACACACTCTGCATAATATACCCACACTACACTAACACACACACACACACACTCACACTCTGCATTATATACACACACACTCAGTATTATATACACACACAATGCATTATATACACACTACACACACACACTCACTGCATTATATACACACACAATGCATTCACTTTACCCACACTACACACACTGCATTCACTATACACACACACTACACAAACACACACTCTGCATTCCCTAAACACACTACAACAAAATTCTGCAATCACTATACACACACTCTGCATTCCCTAAACACACTACAACAAAATTCTGCAATCACTATACGCACACTCTGCATTCACTATATATACACACACTACACACATACTCACTGCATTCACTATACACATTACACAAACACACTCTGCATTCACTATATATACACACTACACAAAAAACACTCTGCATTCACTATACACACCACACAAATACACACACTCTGCATTCACTATATATACACACTACACAAACACTCACTGCATTCACTATACACACTTCACAAACACACTCTGCATTCATTATATACACACACTACACAAATACACACTGTATCCACTACACACACACTACACAAACACACACAGCCCCGGTGTCTAAACACACTTCATCCACTACATGTGGCATGTATATTTTGTGCATCTACCTTTAGAATTAGT